TCCATTCAAATTTATTGGATGACTAAAAAATAACGGTAGCCACTATTTGCAGGAGAAACAACATTTCCTCCACCTCCCACCACAACTTAACATCCCTCTTCGAATCCAAATTTTGTAGAATATATTTTCATAAGCAATTTGTAAATAGAGCCGTCCATGTTCAAGGGCTTCAATACAGGCTACAGCCGACATGGAGATGCATTGCCAAGTTAATTTTGAAACAATAAAACGGTCAAGAATATATATTGAAATGCGCATCGAAATCCAAATCCTTCTATGGATTACTCTTTTTACCTTCTTAATAGCAATCCACACATTTTATTATTTCAATGATACAAGGAAAGCAGTTAACAACATTCAATTACATTTACACGCATGTTTGATGTCATGTGCCAGCAGCTTACATCTGCTTCTCATTTGATACCACAACCCTGTGTCACCAAAGTGTATTAGCTTATTCTTTTTCTTAAAAAGGTAAAACTTTCAAAATGAATACCACAACAAGAATACCAAATCCCATAGCAAAATGGAGAGGTTTGACCTAGACAGCCTGCCTTAGAGAGGCTGCTTCCATAGACTACCAAAATGAATTCTCATGCTTTATAAGGAAAGACTGGGCAACCACCTTATAAATGCTCCTGGAAACATTTTTGACAGCATGGATGCTTTCACTTTCACAAGCCAAACATATAGTCCGTAACATGGAAGGTGAACTAAAGCGATGCCAAAGTACCTGCAGGATGTGAAAAGTCATATCTACCCCGAGAGAGCAATATATATATATATATATATATATATATATATATATATATATATATATATATATATATATATATATATTTCATTGGATTGGATAGGGATTGGATGCAACATACCACATAGGAGCCCATGGAGTAGCAATTTCCAGGAAGGGATAAGGCCACCTGCAATAGCCTCTCAAACTTCAATCCCGGGAAATTTTACAGTAAATAATTGATAAATGAGAAAAGAAGTGAGTGGAAATCACCATGTAAAGCAACAAGCATGCATAACCCACTGGAAAATTATATAAGCTGCGCTCCACAAGACAAAGTATGTTAACCCGTGCCAAGTAAATTGCTACAAGGAAAAGACAAACAGTGAGATAATGGCATCAGGTCGACACTTATTAGGATCATTAATATAGTGAATAACCAATTGGTGAATGCGATCCAATTACTTACTAGGCTGTTGAGAGCAGAATCCAGAAGGAGAAAAACAGCATTCAGGGAGTGCATGCAACCAATCAACTGCAATCACAACAGAGATTTATAGCCAAACTAACTCAGACTCAGAAACAGTTCCGAATGAATACATTTGTTATGAGCTAGCAAATAATAAAAAGAGAATGATAAATTTCCAGGAAAAAGGAGGAGATTTTCATTGATTGGTATTGTATTGACAATGAAAGAAAAGGTCCAAAAATATGGTGCTAACCAAGGTAAGCTTGAAGCCATCGCCAGACTGAAACGGGAGTAATAGGCACCAAAATACAAGGTCAGTAAGCACAACAGCACCTGCACAAGTCTGTTAGACATACACCAAGAATCAGCTTTAAACACTTTTCAAAAAAAAAAAAAAAAAAAAAAAAAACTCATGTGATAGAAAGAATACCAACCTGATAAACATTCTGCATGAGATTTCCCCAAAACCCAGCTTCTTGATTAAACTGCAGATTGATGGAATTGGAAGCCTCGTTATCTTTAAAAGAGCTAGAATCCTTTTTCAGAAACTTGTCTCTCTCTTGATTTTGATTTGGAAGGGGACGCTCTTTGAAGTGCATCCAGCAGCCATGAGCAGATATAATGGTCCCAAGCTACACGAAAGTAAGCAGCACTCATGAAATGTAAGGAAGAATAATTTTGTGTGGTAATGACCTCAATTTATATACAATGTTTGATGATGAAAATGGAACTAAATCTCAATCCTATCTAAGAAAACAAATCAAATAAAAAAAAAATCCTAATCCTCATCTGAAGTTGAATACATTGCAGCAAAGTTAACACAACGGCACGTACAAATGCCTTATGGCTTTGAAAAGTTGTTGTTGATTTATGTGTGGCCAAGAACCCTGTTTTCTATGCCCCAACATCATTTCATTTGCAAGTTGGTCACTAATGGAAAGATTAAAGTGAGCTTTTGTGGCACAAATGAGCAGACAGCAGATCATATTTTTTTAGTGGGTCTTGATAACTCTCCTGATTTTTCGGGCTACCAAACATAATGTTTTTGTAGTCAATTTAATAGTCGCAGTTTAATTTTATCAAAGTATTTTTAGTTTGCAAGTAGAAGCAGTGTATTTGTGATATCTTTGTTTGTATCACTACTCGAACACGAGTATGATTTTCTTCATGATATTGTAACTGCCTAGCAAAAAGATCATAACACTTCCTCTCCCACATTATTTGTACTAAATCCAAGACCTAAAAAATATTTGGACCGGAACCGTATTCAAAGACATTTGAATTTAGAATATTAGGCAAGTGAATTGACATACCGCAAAGTAGACCATGACCAAGCAAAAAGTCCATCTGTAAAATTGATTAATAAACATTCATTAACAGCGATATCATCAACAAACAAACTCAAACGTGAAGAAATACTATTACTAGTGCTTAGTGGCTATGAGAATTTTTGTAGAATAGTCACCAAACCCAAATGCCCAAGTGAGACATTTAACTCCTCATCCAAGGTGATTCCTAATAAATCTCAAGGGATTGGATTGGAGGCACACATACGGACATACCACATCTGATTGGATTGGATTGGATTGGATTGGATTGGATTGGATTGGATTGGGGGGACAAACATTACACATCTTATGTCTCTCTTTGCTCACATATTCTGCAGTTTACTCATTCTCACGATGGTAACAACTAACAAGTTTAGGAGGATGACTCTTTCTATCTTGAACCATCTTGAAAGCCACCTGTTACGCATCTGCCTACTCATGCCATATAATGGAATTTTGGATTGCAGCGCGCTGGGTGTTTTCAGCCACTTTACCAAATAAGTTTAACATCTTGTATTTCTCTCCTCTTTTTTCTTTTCTTCCCTTTCTAAACAATCGGGCTCTATAGTATAAAGACAAATCATCTGCTAATCTCTAAGGGACGGATAATAAACTATTGCCTAACAAATAAAAAGTAGCATAGAAAATTAAGCTGAAGTAAACATGGCATACTGACTGGGTGTAGAAATAGAAGACGAAGGGGCCGAAGGCGATGACTGTTTGATATAGCAAGTAAGCCATGGAAACGAAGGAGAAAAGCCTGTAGAGAAGGATCCAGCTTGGATGAAGGTTCCTCCAGCAAGAAATCCATAGATGCTGGGTTTTAGTGGTATGTGTGTTGTTTTTAGTGACGATGAATCTCAAAGAGACCAGCGTGGGAATCAGGAAGATGAGAGCGCAGACAGGTACTTGCCATCGAAGCCAGTACTCCAAACCCCCATCCTCCATGGATGACGCCGTGATGGTGAGAAGGATAGATAATCCATGTGGTGGGTGGGAGGAGGCATTTGTATTTCTGGGGAGGCACCTAACAGTGATGACGTTCTTCAATTCCGGATCGGTGTCGCTGTCTGGGCGAGTTAACCAAGCATCTTCGTTGACGCGAGTAAGTCTAAAATTGAAATTCGTCAACCAGCCCTCTTTTACTACGGTTAAATATCTGATATAGACATAGATATTCTTTTTACAAAATTGTAAAAAACTCGATCTTTATTTTTAAAACTATATGGTTTTGCTTTAAAAATAATTAATGGTTTATTTTTTAATATCTTATGCCTTTTATGTTAAAAAAAAACATTAAGGGGTGTTTGATACAAGGAAAAATAATTGATTCTTGGGATAATAACTTAAAATATAATATATTTTTTGATTTGTATACATTTGGTCACTTTTTTTCGTTTATATTTACCTCTTCAACTTGTTTAAGTATACACATTCACTCCTTATGGTCCGCTACTCAAGGTTAGATGGTAAAAATGACTTAATAGGGTAATATATTTTTCACTTTATACACATTTAGTCCTTAATATTTTTGTACACATTTAGTCTTCAACATATTTTTTTTCTTGTTGCAAAATAAGTCATTTTTATTTTTGTATTCATTCAGTACTTATGAATGATTTCTTTATGTTTTTCTCACAACATATTATGTGGGACGATCATTAATGAGGTGTTTGAGGTTTTTGATATTTATGTCTATCGCGATCTCGACTACTTAGTTGTTTAGGTCTTGTGTTCTGAACATCATAACTTCTTCATATGATCTTTATATTCAAAAAAATAGTTTGTTTGGTTGAGTTTTGGCTGAGTTACGCAGCTCTAAACAATAACTGTTAGGATTGTTATGAAGTATTTCACCATTTTTTATATTCTTTGTCCAACTTTAAAGCATCAAAAAATTTGCATATGAGCTCGGAACGAGGTGATTTTTTTCCAGATTGTAGTCCTCTTTCTTATCTATGTTTTTGGCTCAAAAAATAATTTGTTTGGTTGATTTTTGGTTGAGTTATATAGCTTTAAATAGTAACTTTTAGGATTGTTGTAAAGTATTTCAACATTTTTTATATTTTTTGTCCAACTTTGAACCATCATAAAATCTTCATATAAGTTCGGAATGATGTGATATTTTTTTTCCAGATTGTAGTATGCGCTCCTGTCTACACTTTAGGAAAAAATAGCTTATTTTGTTTAGTTTTTGCTGAGTTATGCCGCTATAAACAGTGGCTGTTAGGATTGTTGTAAACTATTTTAATATTTTTTAGATTTTTTGACCAACTTTTACTTGTTTGTATATATGTAGATGACACGATCAATTTTGCAACAACGGATTGTACGAAAAAGAGTGGAGTGGAAGGTGTGCCAACAATTCTTTTATTCCATGTTTTATTTTGTGGTGTTGACACTATGCTTAAGTTTGGATTTATTTGTAACTTATTTATTTATATTAGAAATATGTTTTTTAATACTTGGTGTATAAAGAATAATATTAAATGTCAAGAAAATAACTTATTTTGTAACAAATAATGTTAAAGTAAAAAATTATAAGCATAAACGATGCATGTTTTTACAAATTAAGATGTACATCATAATGCATTTTTATAAAACAAAATGTTGCTTGAAAATGAATAAACAAAGTAAAAAAAAAAAACTCATTTTCATTTTCATTGTTTAATATAATCAAAGAAGAGAAATGATTGTCATAAACATTTCTCTAATGGATTCCCCCATTCTACCAAACAGTAGAATCAATTCTCTTTCTTTATGTTAATTATTTTTCTCTACATTTCCATTCTATGATGTAATTTTATTTCTGTATACCAAACGCACCCTAACTTTAACAACTTAGTTGCTAATTTTTTTAAAATAATAATTTATCATCGGATATTATTTCTGCAACCAAACTACAATGACCATTTATTCATCTCTCTCTCTCTCTCTCTCTCTTCTTTTAATTTTATTCAAATATTATACATTAATTCCTTTAATTAATTTTTTTAATTTCTTCTTATTGGATTGATTTTTATTGGTTTATTATAGATTAATAAATATTATTTTTGAAATATATAATGTTTAAATATTAATGAATACTACTTTATTTGATTACTAATTTCATTTAATTAATTTTTTAATATTTTACTGGGTCATTATATATTAATAAGTATTGTTTATAATATATAATATTTGTGTATTAATAAATATTACTTTATTGTATTATTAATTTTTTAAAAATTTTTATTGGATTAATTCTTCTTTGTTGGATTATATATTAATAAAATTTATTTTTAATATATAATATTTATATATTAATAAATATTACTTTATTGGATTACTGTTTTTTAATTATTTTTTTGAAAAGAAAAATAATTGTTTTTAATTTCTTTTGTTTTTTTTTATTATTCTAAATCAAAAAACCTACAAAAATCTCACCCACCCCACCTCTCTTATTTTATTTTAAATATTTAAAAGATAAAATATTTTAGACAACACTATTAGATTGCTTTTTATGCATCGTTTTAGCATATTTTATTAACCATTTTCTTAGCTTTTAAAATCAACCCAAAAGGTTGATTTTAATGTCATTCTTGAAAAGATTGTAAACAAGTGCTAGAAAAAGTGCTTAAGAAACAATTGCATAATCACAATTTATGAGCATGTTTTTCCAACAATTACAAGATTATAATATTGTAACATCCCAAAAACCATGGTAAAAAAAATTTATTTTTTAAAAGAGGAATGGAAGCCATTTTCATAGAAGTCAAACACTAATAAGATAATTGTTTCATAAAATGGAATCAATCATAGCATAGTAACATAACTTCTCTCATAAATATGAAATCTCTAGGATAGTGTGTACAGTCACGCATTTGCTTTACCTCGATCATCATAACTACCTAAAACATTTAAATCCACAACTGTAAGCCAAATCTTAATGATTTATCCAAAGTACCCCACATAACGATACATATACAATGCATACATACAAGGCCTACAACATTGTGTTGGACCGCTACTTGGGCCTTCAACATAAAGTTGGACCACCCTCATTGGGCCTATAATATAAAGCTAGAGCGCCCCGGGTATCTTGGCCTTCAGCACACAGCTAGACTGCCTCAACCCATCCCCAATATGTCTACATATGCATATAACAACAAACTACCAACAAACAAGCATAGGTAATCACAATAAATCTACCTGCCTAACATAACTCTACAGCATACCAACATCATATCATACAAATGATACATATTGTAGTACAAAGTAGAGTGAGAACTCGCCTCACAAATAGAAGCAAATATATCACACCCCAAAACCTGAACGACGGAATCGTTCGGGGGTGGAGGACGTCATGTACAGTATCACAACAATGAATAGTAGTAAACAAGCAACAACATCATCCATTGCATTAATAATATAATTTCATACATGTGTATTCTGTTAAAGTTATGGACACCAAAAATATACATATCAAAATAAAAGATGAGTCTTGAACGAACTCCATCTTCTCAAAGCCCGGTACCTGTACCTGTCTAGTGGTGACCTGAGAATACAAGTTATTTTGAAAGCGAGTATCAGCTTAATGCTGGTGAGATCATAAGTATATTAGTGTCTGTATTTGTATGAAAGCATTTGTAAGATGTAATGTATAAGTTTTGTAAAGTTTGTATTTGTTTGAACTGTTGGATTAATGTCTAAGTCCATAACTATAATTGGCAAAACTTAACCCGACCCGGCATGGTCCATTTGGGTTGCATGACATCATGCATTTGGATAGACTAAAATGAGAGAAATAACACGTAAGGTTTGTTAATATATTATAAGTTCTAATATATTAATAAGGTTATTTAATTAGTATTGATCAAGAATTAATTAAGTGATCAAAAGAAGACTAATTAAATATATGGGTTGATTGTGTAAATCATTCATTCTTATATATGTGGGCTTGTGATCCAAGATTCCTTATGTTGGACTAAGTCCATGCAGTGACCCATGGATACTCAATGGAGGTTAAAATCCATGGAGCATAATGAATGGGTAAAGTCATGAGTTACATGGTGTAACCCTAATAGCCACCATATAAAAGAATCTCATGGCTCAAGAAATCATGCACTATGTGGGAGTGTGAGGGCTAAACAATTTCAAGGAGTGTTCAAGTTTCTCTCAAGTTATTCCAAGTGTATTTGGTGTTGTGTGAACCATTTGAGGTGTCTTACTTGGGGCACTAGGCACTCAAGCTTCATGAAGACTTTCTACATCAAAGAGGTATGTAATTCTAACTTGATAGATTCATATGAATCATGTTATTATGCTAGTTAGGATGAATACCTTGGAAAGTTCATATTTGTATGTATAATAGAGAAAACATAGATCCAAGGTATTTAGGGTTGCATGTACACTTAGGAGTGTTAGAATGCTCAAAACTCAACAGTGGTATCAGAGCCACATGTTGTTTTCTGTTATATTGATGCAAATATTTTATTTTCAAAGTTGAAAAAAAGGAAAAAAAACATGAAGTTTGTCAAATTTTAAGATAATTACTTGTTCTTGTGAAAAACTAATTATTTGTAAAATTTGAATAATTTGCTATATGAGTTGAATTAGGTCAAATTTAGTAAAAGATAAAATGATATGATTGTTTTATTAGTTTTAAAAGTTTGATCTAAAGAGTTTTATTTTTTGAAACCTCCATAAGTTATGGATATGAAAAGGTTTTAAAAAAAATTGATTCAAAGTTTTTATGGAGTTACAAAATTTGGTGTTAATGTTTTAAAGAATTCCATAACTTAAGAATAAGTTATGGATCACCAAAAGTTTTTTGTGTTACCTTGTTTTATGAGTGAATTTAGATTAATGAAAAAAATTATGTGATAGTTGGTTTTAATCCAAATTAATCCAAAAGAAGTTCATAAAATGTGTTTATGTAACTTAAAAGTCACATTTATGAATCTTAAAACTCATAAAAGTTAACATAGGTTACAAAAATGAAGAGTCTTGTTTTCATTGAATGCTTTGATGACTCCATAACTTGTCCTCAAGTTATGAAGGTTCAAGAGTCACTTCATTAAATCATTAAAATGTGTAACCTTAATTAATTCCATATGTTACAAATAAAGAAAAAGTTACATTCTTTTATTAGTTTAAAGTCTTCCATAACTTGTCCTCAAGTTATGGAACTTGAAGAGTTTTTGGATTAAAACTACTTTAAACACATAAGTTATGGAATTAATTAGTTTTGAATATTTTCAAAACATGCCCTCAAGTTTTGGAATTTGAAAAGTTTTCTCTTATGAATACTTTAATTCGAAGTTAGCACTTTAGAATATTAAAAGTTAAAATTCAACCCTTATACTTTATAATATTATAAGTTAATATATATATATATATATATATATATATATATATATATATATATATATATATATATATATATATATATATATAAGATTAAAGTTAGTCTTACCGTTACTAGACCTCATTCACGAAGTCGGTCTATAAGGGGGGGTATAAGGTTACTGCCTATAAAATGGCAGTTTATGTAACACCGAGATTTTCAAGGCAAAATTTTCATTTAAATAATCAATTTAAAATTAAAACACTTGTTTAAAATCTTATTCATATTTGAATTACAAAACATAGTTCCATTTTCACTTGAATAGAAAACCAGGATCCTCCAAAATACAACTCTTTCTTTGGTGTGTACAATCGAGCCGGTGCCATCCCGCGTTACTGAAAGAACCTGAAACAACATAACATAAAACACCGTAAGCACGAAGCTTAGTGAGTTCCCCAATATACACCTTACGCACATACGCCTTTCCAGACCCTGACCTTCCGGTCCACTGCACAATTCCTTCCGGCCCATGATGTAGCGACCCGTTCTCGGTATGTTAATAAATTATCAATTGTCTAAGTTTTCAAGAGGGACTCGGCGAGTTCTAGCCTGACTCGCCGAGTTGGGTCGCGTATTTGTGCACGCGGGAGCCGGGGACTCGGCGAGTCCATATCCCGGACTCGGCGAGTCCGTCCGTCTGGGTGAAACCCTAAATCCCCGGGTTTGCCCACTATTTAAACCCCATTATAGCCTCATTCTCGCCACTTTCACCCTGAGAGCTCTGTGAGAAACCCTAATCCTCCCATTTGAGAGCTTATAAGTGATTTAGTGCCATTTTTGTGAAGGTGTGAAGAAGGAGAAGAAGAAGGAAGCAAGGAAACGAGTTGTAGTGCAAAGATCCAAGGTCAAATCTGAGTTTGTTGAGCCGAGGAGATTCAGGAGCAGCAGCCGTTAGCTTTCCGAGCCACACACTCATCCGCTAGCTTATGAGGTGAGTTTCCTTCCAGTAGGGACGGGTCTAAGGCCACAATGCCGGCCCGTCCAGTTAGCAGTAGTTTCCGGACTTGATCCGATGCAGTAGTTAGTATGTTTGATGCCTTCGTGGCTCAGACAGGATTTGTGAGCTATGCTTTAAGTGTTAT